TCACGAAAGTTTGTAACAGATCGGTGAAATTTCACGAGATTTTGAAAGTAAAATAGATCGATACCGCGTTTTTAAAAATCAATTTGATATCAGCATATGAAAATATATTTGAGTATATATAAGTGTCAGAAATGGATACCAAAACTGCTATTTTCAATGACTATTTATTTTTGTCCAGCTTTAACATCAGTATCGATATCGGTTATCGGCTACATGAGTTTTAAAATATTGGCATATCGGATATCGGCCAAAATCCCAATATCGTGCATCCCTACATTTAATAGTTTACTTGATAGGAAAAGAACAAGAAGCATTGCTATAAGAACTGATGCCATATTCATAGGCTGAGTCGCTAAATGCTAATTCGCAAACCGGGTTCCTATACATGAATATAACAGTTATCAATCATAAAAAATAAAACATGTAATCAATGTTCAGACTTGATTTGAGTTATGCGTTGACTTGGCTGAAGGGAATCAGCATCCAGCCTACTGACTTGGTATTATCTCCCTCCTATCAGATTGCAAGGACAGCATTACATTTCTTTTAAGGTTTTCTGTCAGATTTAACTCCAAACTTCAAATAGGAGATAGAAACTTTCCAAACTTTGATTTCCTTTGAATCACTAAATTATAAAATACAACTGAAGGTTATGGAGAAAAACTGATACCTGTCCATAATCTGTTTAAAAACGGATAATTCCTTCTGAAAAATTCTTTCTTCAAGACCATAATGCTGCCACCCCCATGTTTTACTGTAGGTTTGGAGTTAATACGATGACATTTTTTACCTACTGCATCTTTCTAAGTTTTTTCATCTGTTTTATTCATTCTGTCAGTCCAGTGAAATAAATCAGTGTAAAACCAGTAAAATACCAGAAGGGGGTAACGATCGACACTTTGGTCACAAATCTCAACTATATTTTACGTTCTTTACCCTTCCCCTCTCAGTCATCTACTTGTTCAGCTTAATTTGGAAGCTTAATTGAAAAAAAAGAAAAAAAGATTTTAAAAAGATGTGTGAGAAAAAAACTAAATTTGCAGTGATACTCTGGTTTCTTGCTCAGAAAGCAAAAGTAAGGATCATTCTGCTTGTCTCCTGGTATCCAGTAATACGGATACGCCAAAAATACCGTTTTTAAAATGAAAATAAAAGAAAAGCTATTTTTTATGAGGAGAGCAGCAGAAAATCTAAGCTGTAGATCAGACAGGTGCTCAGGCTCACCACATTCAAGAGGTAGATCTGTTTCCCCCGCTGTGTCTGTGTCAAAGCAGGGTGGTGTCGTGACAGAAGATAGAGGGGGTGGTTCAGGAGAACGCTCTTCCTGAGTGGGACTAGGATCCATCTCTACGCAGGCCTCAGTCGGCTCCGCTGAAGACAAGGGTGAGGTATCAGTGGCTTCTGTGGTGCTGATGAGATCATGGAGTGCCGTTATCCCTGGAGTCTCCTACAAACCCAGACACAATGACAAACACAACATAACACCACATTCTGACATAAAAGAGTAAATAACAATCTATATGTGGGGTGGGGAGGGGAGGG